AGAAAGAAAAATGAATTTGGAGGTATCACACTACACTACGAGGCTATCTTTTTTAAAAAATATATATTTTATTGATTTTTTACAGAGAGGAAGGGAGAGGGATAGAGAGTTAGAAACATTGATGAGAGAGAAACATCGATTCAGCTGCCTCCTGCACACTCCCTGCTGGGAATGTGCCCGCAACTAAGGTACATGCCTTTGACTGGAATTGAACCTGGGACCCTTCAGTCCGCAGGCCGATGCTCTATCCACTGAGCCAAACCAGTTAGGGCCCATGGATAGTTCTTAGAAGAAAAATGTATATACCCCTCAAGTTCATAACCTATTGACTGCCCTTGGGGTGTGACCCACATTGTTGAGTTGCTCGGGGAAGCTTAACAGTCCCTAGGTTCTCTATGTTACTCTTGGTTTTTATTTTGGCCATTTACCTGTAGATAGGGGAGCTAAAACTCACAGTGCTTTTCAGTAAGGGCCCATCTCCACTGACTTGGAGTGGCACCTTATTTTCTCGTTTCGTTGATCTTAAGCTAGTGCCTCTCTCTTCCCACTGGTTATTCTGGAAGCTTTAGGATAACTTTTGGGTCTTTATCTCTTTCTCTTCCTCCCCAAGATTTTCCATTGGATTGTGGTCAAGATAGCAGTAAACCTATAGGTCAGCATCTTTACAGGTTAGCCTTCCCATGTGTTCAGATCCATGCTCTCATTCCTAAGTGTTCGACTTCTGTCTTTTCCTGTAAAATTAATACACATTTGTTGTAAGTGGAACTCTTCTTGTCTCCAGTCACACTGGCCTTTTTGCTGTTCTTAAAACATTTCAAGTTTTGTCTCAGGGCCTTTGCACTGGCTGACATCTCTGTCTAGAATATTCTGCCCCAGCCCCCCACTCCCCACCCCCATCCCACCAGATAGCCAGGTAGCTGGCTCCTTCTCTACCCCTAAGTGTGTACATGGTTGTTGACTTAAATATTCGTGTCTTTGCTCCACTGATTCTTCCTTCCACCACCCCCCTCCCTGAATTAAAATGTACTCCTTCCATCATTTTCTCCTTACCCTTCTTTATTTTTCCTCAGCATTTGTCAGTACTTTACATTGTTCTGTGTTACAATGTAAATTGCAGTTCTGTGAGGGCAGGGACATTGTCATTCACTTCTGTATTTCAGTGCCAAGAATAGTGCTCGGCACAGTCGGTTGAATGAGGAGTAATCTGGTGCACACTTGGTTTTTATCTTAGCACTTGGGTAAATCGTTAATAATGGTGTATTCATCAGTTGTCTAGATTAAGGTGGTTGTTATAGGTATATTCTACTATGTAGCGTATTTGCAAGAAATCTTTACAGGTAAGAAATGTTCTAACATATCAAGGCCTGTTTCTTGACATCTCATAACAAATGTCTATTACACCTTCAGGTGTGTGTTCAGATTTACGTCTGGAACCCTGAGTGTTAACTGGGTTTTGGGGACATTACTGGTATAGGTAGTCTTGTTAAAAACTGATAAACAAAACAAAAACTCAAAACAAAAACCACATAAACTTAACTTCAGGAAGCTGTAAATTGGCCTCGGTGAGCAGAGTTCCAGGAGCAGGTGTAGGAAAAAGCCCAACTGGGTGCGGGAACTACTGTGGAGAAACAGCTGTTGGCATCGGAATTCCTGAACCTGTCCTTTTACAAGGTTGTATAGACATGGGCTAACTGTCACAGCTTTTAGGTATTGATCTTAACGTTATTTTACAGGCAGATCCAGTTCCTAATGGTTTGCGAGCTTTGCCAGTTTTCTATGCTTGCACGGTTGGGATAAACCTGTTTTCCATCATGTATACTGGAGCACCTTGTAAGTATATATCAAACTATTTAGATGTGAATTTAAAGTTGTTTACAAAACTTGCATTAAATGCCCAATTTACCCCTTTTTGCTTTACAGGGCTGAAATCTCCTAGAAGGTGGCTGGCCTGCACCCATTTCAGAAGGCTGCAGGCTAGTGTATGCTGAGTTAACCTAGATAGTTTTTCAACCAAAGAGACCTGCTCAGATTCTAAATCACTACAGACCTTTACTCTTTAGTCTTCACAGGACCCAAGATAATACGGTCTTCTCTCTCCCTTTCTCCTGTCTGTGCCTAAATACTGGCTTTGGTACTGGCCTCAACTGCTGGCTGCTGAAGAGTTCTTAGTTCTATCTGGTCTTCAATAATCAGCCATTTAGCACTGGTTTGCTTGATATTTTCATTTTCTCTCCCAAATGGAGCCACTTTTATTTCTAAGTACTAAATTTACTTCCCTAAACCTGCTTGGATGAGAAGAGTTGGGATGTTTAATACCTGGCCTAAGTGCATGTGGAAGAAGAATTCATGCAGCTAAGAGGAAAAGTAATTTGTGAGAACGTAAAAATTGAAATATTCATGTTGGGGCTAAGGCAATTTATGGATTAAATTATGATGTATGTTTAATTTAGCAACTGAAAAAGATGGACAACTTGTAACTTGTCAGCAGGGCTATACCTACCTTGATCAGCTTGGTTGTGCTGTCTAGGTTTATTTGGCATGAGGGTCTTTGACCATTAATTCAGTGCTCCTGTCCTTTGACTGGAAGAAATACATGTATGTTGTTGCCTGGGACACATGTGCATATAGTGGGGGAGAAGGGAAAGGGAACTGGAAAGTATCCGGAAGCTACATGACCTATGAGAATATTGATCTTCTTTAGAGCTTACTAGACACCTTGCCAAATGCTGCAGGCAAAGGAAAGCTTGGATGCAGCATTTCCATTGGTTTAAATTTGGTTCTTCGTGCTAACCTGAGAAGTCTCCAAGAGGCTCTAAGCACTGGTGTTTATGTAGCAGCAGCAGAGCTCATACTTCAGTGAAATTAGAAACATTTTCAGTCGTTTTGAAAAGGGAAATTGGATATTTTTGTTCTGCCTTTTGTTGATTATTTACAAGAAAAACCAGTCTCATTTCCCTTTTTAAACTTGGAATGTGGGCAAATTTAAATTGTGATGGATATTGATTGCATTTCATGTGTATTATAGTTTGTGTGGCTTTACCTGAAGCTGATAGCAGGAATTGAAATGAAAAGATTTGTAGTCATTATAAAAACTTGCATTTTGAAGGGTTCTCAATTTAAATATGACTTTAAAATAGTAATCATTTTTGAGGGGCCAGTAGAATTGTCATTTTATAAATAATTTAATTCATAATAAGCAAAAGAAAGCAGAACAACCATAAGTAACTAAGCTCTTGGATAAACTAGAAACCAAAACATTTTTTCGGCTTAAATAGATTCTATGGTGTTTTGCTTCTGTCATAAATAATATACTAGAGGCTTGGAGCCTATTGACATTTCAGTGGTAAGCAGATGGTGACTGATATTAATGATCCCTGAGCCTTACGAAAAAGTAGACAAGCTTCTAAGATACAACTTATAAGTGCAACTACCACTAAATTATTTTTGTTTTGTGAAAGACTCCTTTGAACTGTTCTTATCTTTTGATAAGTAATATCCTTGTTTTCTGTATATTAGTCTAAGAGATAATAATCTTGTTGTAAAGGATTTTGCTGAAGGATAGTACAGTGGCTGTGATAACCCCACAGAGAATTCTATCAGTGTAACAGATGTGACTCTGGCACCTTCCTGTGTAATGTGCTCAGCCACCATCTGGAGACGGGAGTGGGGTGGTTCCATTTACTTCCATAACTAGTAGATTCTCAGTGTAGTAATCCCCATTGTCTAAGGCAAAGAAAGGGAAGGCTAGTTTGTGAAGGCCCTTGGGAGGCGTCAGTCTAGTAGGTATTGAAAGTGGGCCAGACTGGTGTGGGTGTCAGGTGACAACTAGATTTTCCTCTCAAGTCTGTCTAGCCACGAGCACAGTTGCTCCTGTGGCCTAAAGCTGGCAGCTGCTGAAGGGCGATGGGCTGGCGTGGGGAACCTGAGTCCCCCCAGGAGGGTTTACACACTGTGGCAAGGGCTTTAGCCCTGGGGTTTTCAAGATGCACCATTTTATCTCCTAGTGCTGGGCTTTGACAAACTTCCTCTGTGGGGCACCATCCTCATCTCGGTGGGATGTGCAGTTCTCTGTGCCCTTATCGTCTGGTTCTTTGTATGTCCCAGGATGAAGAGGAAAATTGAACGTAAGTATCACATTGTAGCAGAAAATTTAACTTGAAATGTGCTATTTATTTTTGTTTGGCCACCTATAAAATTCCAGTATTTGGATATATTGACAATGTCAGAAATTTTAAATGAATATTTGAGGCCATGGGTTTATCAACCAAAGTATATTCTTACTGACTTAAAATTATCTGAGACTGGTCAGAAGGAATGTTGGACCTATGCTGTGGATACAAACTGGGCATTTATTAGTGAACTGTACTTTAATCAGTTTCCAGTAAGAGCAAATAGACAGTGTAGACTACATTAAGTGAGAATACTTAAGGGTACCTTAATGAAAAAAAATGCTTTCATAGAGGAAACGTTTACCCTAATTCTGTGTGGAACTTCGTATTTAGACATTGAAAGCTATGGCTATCGTATATATCCGACTTCACAGTTCTCAGAATTGTAGCACAAATCCTGAGGTGAACATCTCCAAGTGTCCTTTAGTTTCATTTAGGCCATTGCTGCACACAGTTGTGTAGTTAAACACTAAGTACATTCTGGGTAGTCTTAAATCTTGTATTCCTTTCCTTACTGGTGGAGTTCTCTTAATACAATCTTTCTCTGCCCTTTTCACTTGCAAATGCTCAGTGGGCGATGTGGTTTGCTGTTTGGAAGGGAGGCAGCACCGGCTGCAGTGGCCTTGGGAGCAGTGCTGTGTCATGCAGCTGCACCGAGCGCCTGCGCACAGTGGGAACGAGGCTCAGTCCTTACTGACCTCGATTCCCCTCAGTCTGGGAGAAGATGATACAAGTCTCCCTGATGTGTTATGTTCTGCTCTAGCTTGACTGATGCCTGAATGAGCGTGTGAACTGGGCATTGGCTTGATAGGCAGAAACTGTCCCTGCCTGGTTGTGGAATTTAGTCAAAGGCACATCTCTTTTATAGAAGTGGAAATTAGAGTTGTCATCTTCCGTTGCCTGCACTGAGCTGTGTTGCTTCGCTTGAATTCATGGAGGGGCTTTTGGGGGAATTCCTTCTTTAAAAACATGAACTAGATGCAGTCCAAATTTCAATCTGTTGCCAGCCTTGCCTTGAGTTCCTTTCACTACAGAACAGGTTGTCAGGGAGCGAAGCATGGCCTACGTGTAAAGGAAAGGACACAACAGAACCCACAGAGCCTTTGCTGTTTGGTCCTTTATTGAAAAGCTTTGCAGCCCCTGATACTAAGTGTCCTGCATTGTTGGTTTCCTCCCAGGGGGAATGAGACGTGGCAAATACAACAGACAGGAAGATGATTCTGGATTTGTACTGAAGTTTACATATGTTGAGATGGACTTTTTTGAAATGGGGAAAGGGGAGGTGTGGAACAACTGGGTTTGGTCAAAACCAAACAAAAATTTCTTCTTTCCTAGGAGAAATAAAGTCTAGTCCTTCGGTGAGCCCCTTAATGGAAAAAAAGAACAGCTTGAAAGAAGACCACGAAGAAGCAAAGTTGTCTCTGGGTGACATAGAAGTCCGGAGTCCCATCTCCGAGGCGGGGCCTGTCGCCGTGCCCCTGCGGGCGGTGGTGGAGGAGAGGACTGTCTCCTTCAAGCTGGGGGACTTGGAGGAAGCGCCGGAGCGAGAGCGCCTTCCCAGTGTGGACCTGAAAGAGGAAACCAGCCTGGACGGCCCCATGAACGGTGAGTGGAATTTCTTCGGCGGGGGAGCAGTTTCACTTTCCTGCGGGTGCAGAGGCTCACTGGTGCCTCGTGATGCTCTTTATGTTGATGTTTCCTTTTGGTCTTGGCCAGGTGCAGTGCAGCTGCCTAACGGGAACCTAGTTCAGTTCAACCAGGCCGTCAGTAACCAGATCAACTCCAGTGGCCACTACCAGTATCACACGGTGCACAAGGACTCCGGCTTGTACAAAGAGCTGCTGCACAAGCTGCATCTTGCCAAGGTGGGCGACTGCATGGGAGACTCCGGCGACAAACCCTTGAGGCGCAACAATAGCTACACTTCCTATACCATGGCAATCTGTGGCATGCCTCTGGATTCATTCCGTGCCAAAGAAGGTGAGCAGAAAGGTGAGGAGATGGAGAAGCTGACGTGGCCGAACGCAGACAGCAAGAAGCGAATTCGAATGGACAGTTACACCAGCTACTGCAATGCCGTGTCTGACATTCACTCGGCCTCTGAGATGGACATGAGCGTCAAGGCAGAGATGGGCCTGGGTGACCGAAAAGGAAGTAGTAGCTCTCTAGAAGAGTGGAACGACCAGGATAAACCAGAAGTCTCTCTCCTCTTCCAGTTCCTGCAGATCCTCACAGCCTGCTTTGGCTCATTTGCCCATGGTGGCAATGATGTCAGGTTGGTGACTTTGAATCTCAGCGCTCATTCTGTTTTTAGACTGTTTACTTTTTTATAAGGCTATGCTTGTGGCTGCGGTGGTGATGCCATCTGTGAGACTGAATATCTAGGTAGGATGAGGTAATAGCAGTTAATTGACTTAATAAAACAAGCAGCAAAATTTTCTTTGGAGAGCTTTCTGTGGGTGGTAAACAGATATTGTTCAGAGAAGCCTTTTTGTCTATGGAGATGGGACTGAGTTCTTTGATAATAAATTTTGGGCTGTAAGATGGAAAACAACATCTTTGCCTTGTGAGGTGAGTTGCAGGCTGTTGGCATTAGTTCTGTGGTTCGTAAACTGTTGGAGCCCAGAGTTGCTTTAGGCTCCCTGTGAGAAGACAGCCCCCACATGCATGGTGCCCCTCAGAGCAGCTCTCGTCTTGTGTATGTGGGTTCCATCATTTTCTGTGAAACAGACCTATTTGCTAAGTGAGCTTTAGGCTTCATTCAAGACAACTATTAAGTTACTCAGTTTTCAGTTCTGTCTGAAAAGTTAATCTTTGCCCTCACTTTTCTTTCAGCAACGCCATTGGCCCTCTGGTTGCCCTGTATCTGGTTTATAAAACGGGAGATGTATCTTCAAAAGTAGCAACCCCAATATGGCTTCTGCTGTACGGTGGTGTTGGCATCTGCATCGGTCTGTGGGTGTGGGGAAGGAGAGTCATTCAGACCATGGGCAAAGATCTGACACCGATCACACCCTCCAGGTAAGCTGGGAAGGGGGTCTTGTTCCTGAGCTACACACAGCTGTGGTGCTGCCACATGAATCACTCTTTAGTTAAAGTGACCCAGTTTGTCTAAGTTCTTGATGATCTCACTGTTGCTGTGAACTTTTTAGGTTTAACTCCAGTGGTCTCACAATAATAACTTTTTCTGAGGAAGATAGGTCTGCTAAGTGTGCATTGCTGTATATACTCAGCCTTTGTTTTTTTTATGATGGTCTGTTGCTTTTTTAAAAAAAATCTTATTGATTTCAGAGAGGGAGGGAGGTGGGGAGAGAGAGAAACATCAGTGATGAGAGAATCACTGATGGGCTGCCTCCTGCACACCCCACACCGGAGATCGAGCCTACAATCCAGGCAGGTGCCCTGACCAGGAATTGAACCGTGACTTCCTGGTTCATTGGTCAATGCTCAACCACTGAGCCACGCCTGCTGGTTGCCTTTGTTTTATTTGGGACCCAAGAAGGGTGTCGAACAAAAGTCTTCAAAATAAAAGGGAATGTTGTTCATGGGCTTCCACAAAACCGTATATCCTCACACGTTAGAGAAGAGGGAGAAGAGAGTTCCCATGGCCTGATTGAAAGGAGATTTTAAGAATTCTAGCCAGCTAAAGAGGTCCATGAGTGGGGCACAGCAAGTTGGCATTAATTTTGAGGTAGTGGTAGCTTACAAAAAAAACACCAAGTTTCTTTCTTAACAAGTCATCTTTTTTTTGTCCACAGTGGCTTCAGTATTGAACTGGCATCTGCCCTTACTGTGGTAATTGCATCCAACATTGGCCTTCCCATCAGTACAACGCATTGTAAAGTAAGTGTTATGTCACGTGCTGTGTCATTTGAATGGTTCTGGTAATATGCAGGCTTTTAAAAACATATATTTTATTGATTTCAGAGTGGAAGAGAGAGGGAGAGATAAAGAAACATGAGTGATGAAAGAGAATCATTGATTGGCTGCCTTCTGCATGCCCTATCCTGGGGATCGATCCCGCAACCCGGGCATGTGCCCTGACCGGGAATCGACTCGTGACTTCCTGGTTCATAGGTTGACATTCAACCACCGAGCCATACCGGGTGGGCTAGGCTTTTTTTTTTTCCTTTTCTTTTTACATATACTTTGGTTTAGAAACTTTTATGCAGTGGATCTTGAGGAGTTGTAAGTTTAGGACATGTGTCAAGAATATAAAGCCTTATCATAATATACTCCAGTTAACAAATTGAATGGTTGGGTTTTTATGTTGCCTTCATCCTCCCACAGGTGATCTCCTTAATGCGTTATATGTAAACCAGCTTTCCTGGGCTTGGTCTAGTTCAGCAGTTACCTACTTGAGGTCATGCGCCCCTTCACCAGAGCACCATTGGAATTAGTAACCAGTTCTCTTGCCTGTTTCTCTCCTAGGTGGGCTCTGTTGTGTCCGTTGGCTGGCTCCGATCCAAAAAGGCTGTTGACTGGCGACTTTTTCGCAACATTTTCATGGCCTGGTTTGTCACGGTTCCCATTTCCGGTGTAATCAGCGCTGCTATCATGGCGTTCTTCCAATATGTCATCCTGCCCTGACCGGTTTGGCTCAGTGGATAGAGCGTTGGCCTGTGGACGGAAGGGTCCCGGGTTCGATTCCGGTCAAGGGCACCAAAAATAAAAATATAAAAGAAATATGTCATCCTCTGAGCGGAAGCTATTTGGGATGAGAATCGTGCCAGTGTTTGGACCACCACAGCGTTCCTGCTCCTCTGAACGATTACAGTGAGACAGGAGACCCAGGACAATCTATAGTTTGGGAGCTGTGGGAGGAAGTATTACTTGTGCTACATTTGCTTTTGTGCTAAATATGACTTGTCTCAAAATTAGCTATTTAAATAGCCAGGTTTCCACTGGTTCCTATTGGCTGTGACTTCCTGTACATATTTATCTACTTTTTGTACCCAGCTTCAATTTCATTGTTTTAATGTTGTGTCTGAAGATAACTTGTGATTTCTTTTTTTTCTTAAACACCATCCAGAGCCATTTGACATACAGTGTGCTCTGGTTGGTGGCGTCACCAGCTTCTGCCTGAACACGCACAGGGATGTAACAACAAAAACATATCTGAAGCTTCCCTTGTAGCTCTTAGTCAAATAGTCATTTGCACTCTGCCCTCCTGTTGGCAGTGGCAGGTGGTTCTGTTGGCATTTGTGGCGTTTGTGGGGACGAGGTTGTTGGGCACAGTAAGAATTTAAATTAGTAACTTCCTGCAAGCAGTTGACTGACTGACTTATTGCTATGAAGAAATAGGAAGAAAAGCCTCTGGCAGTTGTGGTTTCTTTGAGATTTCTGGCAATGTGGGATGGATGAATGGAGTGTGAACTTTGGGCAAGTTGGATGGGACAGCCTTCCATGTTCATCTGTCTACCTCTTAACTGAATAAAAAGGCCTACAGTTTTTAGATAATTGGTTGTCCTGGTTTTTGTTCATATGTGAAGCATCGGGGCTCCTGATTAGTTGTCCTTACCCATTAACAAGTGACACCAATACCCAACTTTGGTTTTCCCCACTCCTCCCTGTTACGGTTCCTGTGATCTCACGACACATGACATCCTCCATGGGGACTATTGGGAGTGTGGCATATTTCCCTTTAAAAACATTAAGTTTTTTTCAACTACAGTTAACATTCAATATTGTATTAATTTTAGGTGGATGCATTTTTCCTTATACTAGCATAACCTAGGCATTTCACATTGGCACACACAGATCTCTTCACTGTTTTTAACATCCACGAAGTCCCCTGTTTGAACAGAGTATTTTGTGTTGTTGTTAATTCTCACTCAGCATTTTTCCGTTGATTTTTAGAGAGAGGGAAAGACAGAAACATTGATGTGAGAGAAACACATCGATTGGTTGCCTCCTACACACCCTGACCAGGGCCCAGGCCGGGGAGGAGCCTGCAACCAAGGTACATGCCCTTGACCAGAATCGAACCTGGGACTCTTGGTCTGCAAGCCAATGCTCTCTCCGCTGAGCCAAAACAGCTAGGACTGAATGGACTATTTTATAATTGTTTTCCAGCTTTGCTTTTACAAAGAATGCTCAGATATGTGTGTGTGTGGCAGGCTCAGCTTCATTTAAAAATCTTCAGTGTTGCTTTCTTTAGTCCTGACCATGATCTCTTCTTTCCTTGGTCAGAATAGTAAATGGAAAGTGGAGCTTTGCAAACAAGGTTGATGGTTTCTGCCCGAGAGCAAGTTTTAGGAAGATGCTTTTTGGCAACAGACTGTGCCTGGGAGATTAGACTTGTGCCTGAGGGATCAGACCACTGGTTGGGTACATGCTCCGCAGCATCGCTCAGTAAATGTTCATCAGGCTCTGCACTAAGCTCTTTATGCACATTTAGCCCTTGAGACTTGCGGTAGGTCTCGCCCTTATTTTACAGCTGATGAAAGGGGCCTGGAAAACATCTGTGTTTCACAATACGTGCTAGCAGAGAGACAGTCTTTGGGGCTGGCTGGAGGTGACCTTGTGTGGCTCTATTTGAGAAAGGTGGCCGTGGCTGTACTAACAGGAACCTGCTGCTATACCCTGAACTGAGGTCCTGGAGGAGGCCCTCTGAGTTTTAATACTGGCTTCCTCTCCTGGAGCCATATGACCTCACAGAGCCGAACTGTCTGCTCTGGGGTGAAATGGAGATTAGTAAGCCTCCAACATTTTCCCTGTGGCTCCGGAAAGGAGGGGGGCAGGTAGGGGGTGAGTATTTTTAAATCAAGGTTGTGTGCATATGAAGGAGTCAGGTGGTTCAATAAGGCTTGTAACAACAATGGATCTTCCATCCCTGTTTTTTCCTTTCCTAAGGCACCTGCTTTCAACCCTGGTTCCTGTGTCTCAGTGGTGTTAGCCTTCCCTTCTGCAAGCACAGACCCTAACCTCCCACCATCACTGTAAGATCAGAATTCTGAGCATTTGAAAGGTAGTGCTGAGCTGCTGAGTCATACAGTGACTCTACCGTGATCACTTCCTGACATTTTGTTGTCCTGTTCTTGTCACTAATTGATCTCAAAATCAGACAATTGATCCCAGTTGTCTGATTTTGTCTCGGGGACCATCAAAAGCGACAGGCATGGTCTCTCTCCATCGTGGAAGGAAGCCTTACTCACAGCTTCTCATCTCACCTGGACAAGTTGTATATCTGTCCTGAAATCTTCCTCATCCTTCTGGGCATTTCTTTTACCTCCTTTGTTAAATTTCCCATTTCCCGTAGCCCGTTTTTCATTTTTTTTTTCTTTTGGCTTACTCCCTTGCTTTTGTGGAGAATGTCCTCTAGCAACTTCCTGAGAAAGAGCTGGCGAGGAGTTTCTTGAGACCTTGTGTGTCTGCACGTGTTTATTCTGTCTTCACATTTAATTGGTCATTTGAGTGTAGAGTCCAGGTTCGAAATAATCCCCCTTCAGGAATTGACGGCACTGCGTTGGTGGAAGTCTGAACCCTTTCTGATGACTTGGTGCGTGTGGCCCGCCTTCCTTGCCAGAAGCTTGCTGGGGTATTTACTCCTTAGTGTGGCTAACTTGACAGTGCAGAGGTGGTTTATTCTTCAGTGGACTGAGCACTCACTCCTGTGAAGCCCAGAAGTTTACATCCTTCAGTTCTAGGAACTTCCTGAATTACTGTGATATCCTCCACACCTTTTTCTTTTTTCTCCGAAGCTATTGAACAAGTCCTCTAATTTCTCATTTTTTTGCTCAATACATTCTTTCTTCTCTGACCTTGTCCTTTATGTCCTATTTCATGGATGGGATCAGTACCTTTTTCTTAAATATTAAGGATAATTTTAATTTGTTAACATAGTTCCCATTTTGGGCTCTGGCTTTTGCTCTGGTCTGTGTCCTTCCAGGGCTTTCCTTGGCTGCCGGGTGCTCTTTGATCTCACATTTAAGAGCAGAATGAAGTGCTGGTGGGAAGCTCAGTGCGCGGGCGGTGCTGGTGGGACTGTGGCGCCTTCGTCTCAGGCAGTGCTTTTCCACTAGTTGTGATTTTTGTGGCAATATGTCAAAATATTGGCAATATTGAGACTTCTGGTTGTCACACTTGGGGGAAGCTACTGGCCTGAGAAATCTTGCTATGAACACCCTACAGTGTACAGGGGCCCCACACAAAGACCTAACCCGGACTAAAATGTCGAAAGTGTTGAGGTGGAGAAACCCTGGGTGAGGTGATCCCAAAGAAGAGCTAGGTCTCAGTGTGACTCAAATCTGTGGGGCTGGCGGGGAAGAGGTCACTGTTCAACTGCAAAAGTAGGTTTACAGCTGTGAGTATGCAAAACAGTTTATTCTTACATTATTACTGATTATTGTATTATTTTCCATACAAGCTACTGCAAACCTACTTTTGCCCCACCCTGTGTTTCTCTGTTTCCAGCACCGGTAGTTCCTGCTTTGTGGCTTCTACATGCACGGATTCTATACCACCGTTTGGGTAAATAGCCCAGTCTCCCAGCAACGTGGTTCAAATTTCAGTTGCTGTGGCACATGCACTAACTCGAATGCTAGCTCTCCAGTCCAGAAAGCACACCGACACAGCCGAGGCGCATCGGCGCCAGTGACCTGCCCAGGTCCCCCCTCTCACCAGTGGGTGGCTGCTTGCTGCTCATCTGTTACTCTGCTCACTCAAGATGACAGCTCTTGGCGGCGTCTCCTGTTCTCCCAGCGGTGGAGAGGGCTGCAGAGACAGTGCTTTTAGTGCCCCTGATGGGTTAGCTCCTCATTCTCTTAGGGACTTGGACAAAAGTATCAAAACGTGCTTTTTTACCATCAAACACAGCTCTCATCAATTCGGCCAGTGGACAAAAAGGTTATTTCCACTTCTCATGGACTTTTGGACAGGCTATTGCTGCTATGACTGGAGATTTTACAATTTCTTTAGCTGAGGTTTGGAAGAAATTAAAGTATCTTAGCAAAAAGTGACAGTAATGCACAGAGTGGCAGAATTCAAACTGAACATAAACTGGCTTGTGTTTGACCGTGGAAAGGCTGGCGCTGCTGCTGTGAGGAAGTTGGCGAAGGTGACCTTGTCAACATGAGGGAGGAAAGGGTGCAGATGTCTCAGAGGAAGTGACTGATGGGACTTCACACGCAGGGACTGCTCAGAGATGGTTCACAGCAGTGAGAAAAGGTCTGATGGGGGAAGCCCATCCCAAAACACTTCCATCCCAATATTTCTAATGATTTAAGTCAGCGGGCTAATAGTAGCTTAACTGTCATCTAATGTTTTGAGAAAAAAATTTTTCTAATAGTAGCTTAACTATTTTTCGATTTTCATATACATTTATAACTGTCATCTAATGTTTTGAGAAAAAAATTTTAAACCTCATGGGACAACCATCTTACCTGTTGGTTATTAGACCACCTTTCATGGTCACATTTGTGGACCCTCAGCTAGCTACTGTGCAGAGCGAGAGCGGCCTTTGTGTTACTTGCCCTCAACTCTGCCCACTGTTTCCCAACCCATGGGCCCTCCATAGTGCCCTTTGTAAAATAAACGTCCAGTCTGATGCCACGTGGAAGACCATGCCTGACTGCAATGTGGGGCACAGGCATGGCAATTTCAAATATACGTGAAAATAGAAGAGTATAATGAACCGTGGGTACCAGGTGCCCTCCATCCAGCTCCAACAGCAGTCAGCATTCTGCTCTCGCATTTGCTTCTCCCTCTCACAGAAACATTTTTACCGGAGTATTTTAAACCTAATATCATCTGACCTGTATATTACTTGAAGCTATATCTAAAGGTAATGTTTTGTTTTTAAATGTCACCACAGGTGCCCTGACTGCTCCCTAGACTTTGAGTGACAGCCTTTCAGGGGCCACCTTAGCCTCGGCCATCTCAGGCTGGTCCCTTGTCCCCATGTGCCATCCCGCTACCACAGTTCAGTGGTTTTGTCTCCTAGCCCGATGACTGTGATACCGTTGTAATTAAATAGTTACTAATAATAGAAAAGGAACAAAGGGAAGACCAGACATAGACATGGTCCCTGCAAACCATGGGGAGGGAAACACAGGGAATATAAGGGCATCCCCAGGAAAGTTGAGATGACAAAGGGAATATGACTTGCTTGTCAGTCACACCTGGGAACAGAGGTCATTGGCCAGAATGGGGGTGAGATATATAATCCCCTAAACAAATTCACTCTCTTGGTTCCTCTTGGTATCCTTGGCTCATGGCTCGTGGCTCATGCTCGGCTACCTGGCATTCTCCCGTGTGGCCCATGACCACGCAGACCCCACACACAATGGACTAATGGACTGCAGCTAGCCTTCGCTGTCCTGGATCCGGCGCAACATGGAATGGAAACTCTGAACACTGACTTTGCTTCTAGCTTTACTGAAACCCAGATTATGCTTCTATAACTGGAAATAAAGCTTTCTACCATACCTCATCCTCCCGTGCAAGTCTCAGGAAATTCC